ATGGAAAAAAACAAGAATAATATTCATAGTTAGCATAAAAGCATGCTTGGTACGTGGAGGAGTACTGGGAGTTGATGGATACAAATTCAACCACTTGTAACAACGCTGCCCAATTGTCTTGTTGGAAATGAACTGATGGAATTAACATACCATTGTAGGTGACATTTAGAGCAACACTGGTACACTCTGTTGGATGGTGATGGGCTGAGGAAAGGTGGAGCTGACACTGAGTGACTTGCCTGCCAAAAATAATGCAGTGAACTGGGTGCCTCAAGACTGAAGGTAGTTCTGATTAACAGTTGTGCTGTTGTATGGTGAGAGCCAGAACAAAGCCACCATTATCACAATGTCTGAAGTCTGTGAGGACTTGGTTTGGGTAGACTGCCCCTTCCTACAGATGTTTCTGTGTTTCAAAAGCTACCAACATTTGCCCTAATTGGTGTCATTATGCTCTGTGGGGCTAAGTTGGAGCAAGTAGTAAGTCCAAGATAACAGCTTGATGCCCTTTGGAGGGCTGGAGTAAAATTGCCCAGAGAGATACATGGAGGCATGTGTTTCAAGTCTGGCAGAGTCACCCAGTTCCTGGCTTGAGCCCCTTAAGCCAAAAGAGCTGCATTTCCCACAACAAAAGAATGGATCCATCTTAACAGAACAAGAGGCTGCATAATGTCTAAGCAGTCCCACAGTATGGGCAAAGAACCTCCTGCCTATGGCAGTTCTCCTCAGGTGCCAGCTATGGTCAAGCTCCTCCAACCAGAGGTGTTTCTTTAGAGGGGTGCAGCTTGCATATGACTCAAGCCCCTGCTGCTGCAGCATCAGGGAGCATGCATACGGGCTCTTCAAGAAAAGGAAAGAACTTGAAAATAGAAGGGTCAGCGCATGTCTTATCTGTATCCGCAACTCAGACCTCAGCATTTATACTGTTCAGGTGAATCAGTGCATCAAGGCAGTGCCTTATCCTTGAGGCAGTGATAACAGAATGAACTGCTGTCATTGATAGGCAGACAGATGTCAGTCACATGTTGTCATTCAAGTACAAGTTGCATAGTAACAATAGCACTTCAGCTTGTAATGCAGAAGTTCCACAACCAGCACCACAATGACATCAATTCATGGTACCTTGATTGCTTCAACTCCCCAGCCTACCTCCACCTCTATATAAACCTCATCAACTAGTCTTCCCTGCGTGGCCTAGGGTGGATTCTTTGGTTGCATTACATCACGGCCTAGAATTAACTGAACAACCACTTGCACTAATGCTTGAGCAGGAGAAAGCTGAGTAACCAGTTCAAAGACTTCTGTGGACCGATTGACACCAAGAAATTCTTCCATCTGGGCAGGAGTGGAAGAGGAACAGTATCAGGCAAAAGTGCAGGTGCTAGGTATTCTGTCCTTCACATTAACCCACCACATATCTACTCCCCACTCTTGTTATATGCTTTGCTGTTCTGTTCTTATCCCATCCTTCTTGTAGCAAGTAACAATTCACAATGTATGTTCATAAAGAGAAGATTGTCCTGCTGAGCTTTCAAGGACCCATTAAGATCATAATTTACAGCAATATTATGTGGTTAAGCTGAAGAGAAGGCAGTACTGGGAATATATCAGTTTAATTTCTGGAACTGTAATGTCAGGGAATGTGGAGTTTTTTTGTTTTTTGTTTTGTTTATGACCAAGAATCCACTGCTTCAGGTACAAAGTTGTGTTTCTACTATGGATGTTAGCAGTGGGATTTTGTTTAATGGTTTGGGGATCTGAATATGGATCATCGCACACTCAAAAGTACTTAGTTATTTGAGGGTTAGGAGAGGCATATTGCTATGGAAAAATCCCTTCCTCTTTCCCAGTCATCTGCCTCATAACAACATTCCTCAAGTGAGCTCCCCATTATCAGTCCAGTAACACCTCACTCTTCATATACAACCACTTCTCAGTCTTGTATGTTGCAGGATATCCCATTTATATAGCACCCACACCACCTGTGCCACTTTGGGTAGTGCTTCCCATAAAAGCAAAGCCTCTCGCCAGCAAGGCCAAAATACTCACAGCACCTTACAAGACTAATTTAAATTCATAGCCAGGACTGTTCTCCCCATGCCAAGGGCTGCCTGCATCACATACTACTGATCATGGCTTCACAGTGCAGCTTTCTTAAGAGTTGTACAGCCATGTCTGCACCTAAAAAGCAGCAGATACACAAAACAGGGACCCACACCATGGTGGAGATGGAGGGGGATGTGAGAGGAAAGCCAGGATTAGCATGGGGGGTGGGTAGACACAGAAGGCGATGGGGGAAGCTTAGGTAAAAACACCTATTGTGGTCTTATAGACCATTGGGGTACAGCTGGTGGTATGAAAGTGTGGCTAAAATACAGCATGGCAGGGGAAGCTGATGAAGAGGGAACCAGGACCCAAAGTGCTTCTCAGGCAGTCAGAGTGCAGAGGGGGAGGTGGGGAGAAAGGGATGGTGAGCAATCTCCATTTCTGTGGCTGACAGAGTGGGGGGTGGATGAGGTAGGTGAAGAAAGCATTGCACTATCCTTGAATGAAACACAAGAGAAGAACAGAAGCGATTACAGGGAATGTTATGATTTACAGTTCTGTTTGAAAAGCAAGTATAGGCAGGTATCCGTCTGCGAAGGGGCAGGGGAGCACTCTGAAAACTTTTTGCAAGGAGCTGGCAAAGGTGAGACATGCCCAGAATGCTCAGTGGGCCAGCAGCAAAAAGACTGCTGACCTAGCAAGAGAGACAACAGGCTGTGACAAGCTTGGACGTCATCTGTCGGCACCATCACAACTCACCCTTCACAGCTAATTCTCAAGATGGCTTGGTATTATTTGTGAACCCATGTATTGAGTTACTTTTCCAGACAACAGCCTCCTAGGTTGCACTCTATTATACAATTGTCCTTTGAAATGCACAAAAGGCCACTGGAGGTTGGGGTGGTTGTGTGTCATATCAGTGGGTTTTAAAAATTGATTAATTAATTCAAATTAAGAGTTCTGAAAGTTCAATAACAGATATAGTCCAGTTTGCCTGACAAATCAAATCTCCTATTTTTCTATACATCTGTTACATACTTACAAAACAGACTTTTCTTCAGGGAGATGAATAGTATAGTCAGACTGCGAGGATCATTATGAGTAGATTTGGTACCTTACAGCATAACCAGCCCACCATCTGCAGTTGGCATTGTGGGGAAGCTGCCAGGATCTCAACCTTGGCAGGCTTCACTGATTTGGAAGGGTATCCTGGCTTCTGTGTGCCAGGCAGCGAGTAGCTGGGAAATCACTACAGTACCTGTGCCACTCAGCACATGGTAGATATTTAGAGGGCACCTTAGCGAGGGCCCCCTGAACTCTGGCATTGACCTACAGAGTAAAATACATTCCTTACAGAACAGTTTCTGGATACTAAAGCACCTTAAAATCATCCCAGTTATGTCAAGTACAGTGGAACAAGAAGGTCCCAGGAACCCTAGTCATCTCCACCACCATCACCTATCCTAGGAAGGCACCAAACTCCTTGCACAGGGTGCACACTTTCCTGCTCACCCGTTCACACTGCCGACAAATAAAATTTCAGTCTATCCAGGGGTAGCATATGCAGAGGGTGGTCTGCCCACGTAAGCAAAACCCCATGTCCCATTGTACTTGCTATCCTGCATGGTTCTTTTGTGCTGAAGTCAACAACAAGGAGTGGGGAAGGTCTTATTTTATTTAAAACAGCTATATCCCAGCTTTTAATGAAATCTAGGTGACTCACAGTAAATAAAACAATTCTACACTGACTGCATTCCAAAATGCCTAGTTCATTTTCATGCAACTATACCCAAAGAAAGAAAAGGTTTAAAAAGGTACTTTCACACTCAGCATATTTCAGGGTGTTGGGCCTGTGGCAATAGTAGATTACTTACTGTGATTTGAATTTTTGCCAGTAGAAGCTGATGACTCCAATGTATCCACTCTGGGTTTTAGTCCGAACTTCAAAGGAGTACTTGGTGCTGAACCCCATTCCAAGCCACCAGATGCATTCAGCACCATGGATAGCTCCTCTGAAATTCAGACTACACCATTTACATTCTAGCCTTCACTGATCATCAGTTGGCCACTGTTATATCTCAGTTTCACCGTTATGCAACATATTGCTTTATAGTTTCACACAGTTTAATAATAAACGGACACACACAAGCTACAAAAAGGTACATCCCACACCTCCTGTTTATATTCTGCCCAGACCGAAGTGTCTCAGTGAATTACTCTATTCTTATTGTCATGCAAAAATATTATTGATGACTATAACAATGAAGCAGTGGTAGTAGCAGTTATCCTTAAAGCCATACTTCCAGTCTACTATCAAAGTATCGACAGAAAACTGGTAATACTTTTCACACAGAATTAACGGGACCAACAAAAGGTGCTGAACTTGCAGCCAGACCCAACACATTTCTAATTCTCATCCCCAGAGAGCACGCAGAAAACCTTTGTGAAGATACAAGAGCACTGCAGAACCCATGAGGCAGGACCGTCCATAAGGTAGCATTAAAATTGACAGTACACGACAGGGCCTGGTGCCACTGCCAGTTCTGACCAGAAAGTAACAATCCCAGAAACACAGTCATTAAATATATCCTTCAGCTAATATAAAAATCCTTAATCAACCATGATATAGAATCAAGTTTTTAACATGTAAGATTATATTTAAATGAATGGCTTTCCTCTCAATGCTGCAGAAGTCTGTTTCTCTGCTTTTTAAAAAAACGCAAATTATTCTTGTTGCTTTTCTGATTTACATTGCACCTATCATTAGTTAATCAAGGTGTTTTGTCAGTCTTGTGTACTTGTTTAGTTAAGAACTGGGGTCAAGTTCTAGAACTGATCTAGCACTTGCTTCTGCTTCCTGAACATGATGATTCCAGACACTCTACATAGCAAGCAGTGACAGACACATGCATCTAGTTAAGCAAGTCTGCAGTTTCTAAGAGTACCAGAACCCACACCATCTATTTCTCTCAAGCACGCTGGAGAAGGTGACAGGCTTCCATGCTATTGTACAGGCATGAACACGTACAATATTTACATGGTGTCTACACAGCCCAACACATTGTCAGACACAAATTTGTTTCTGATGCATAAAGAGTGTACAGCTCATACCATCATATCCTTTGGGGGAAATATCCCTGGATTGCACCTTGGGAGCTATGGCTCTCTTGCCATAGGCATGGTTGTCATAACTGTTATATTCAAATGTAGTCTTAGAGTATTTCTCTAGTTCCTTGGCCAGGTTGGAGCGGGGCGTGGTGGTAGGAACATTGTTTCTGTAGCCATACTGAGGAATCTCCAACTGCTTAACAAAACACATGGGCCTAGAAATTAAAAACATGTACAGTGTGTTAGATACATAATGCACATCTTGTAGCCATGTCAGTCACATTTGAATCCATTTGTTTACTACACACAGAAGGGAGCAATGCATTATAGGTTTGCTTTGTGCTTAGGCTGCATTTCAGCAGGACACCTTCCTTCAGCAAAAGCCCAGAGCAAATTAATTATAATTGCACCATATGTGGTTAATAGCAATAGAAATGGGAAAATACCCAATCTAAACAAAAGAGCTATGTTTTCCAGTTATATAGGACAAAAAGGGAAGGAGCATAACTGTAGTACCTAAGTGAGTGGGAGCAGCAGTTACCTGTGCATTTTGCCTGGTCCCAAAATGTCTAAATCTAGGCTAGCTAAGCTATAAATAAAGACTCACATGTGCTTTGATATGTAGTTTGTCCAACCACCTTCCAAAGCCCAGTGATTAAATGCTGTTGGATCCACATTACACAGCTAGATCTTGAAACTGTTGACATCCCTCTTTGCAGTTTTCCAGGAAGACATGTGGCTGAGAGGCATCAAAGATCCAACATCGGCCTTTTCCTCATTTAGCACAGAATCATTAAGAAAAGGAGAGCACTATACTGGTATATTTGTGTGACTTATACTTCTAAATTTTATGATTTGACAGCTTTTGAACTTTGCTATTTCTTTGAATCTTTCTGATACCCATGTTCTTATTTTAAGTGTTATTGACCTTCACAGTGTTGGGATCTCTCCACAATGTGGGAATCTCTCCACAATTTTTTTATGCTGACAAATCATGTAAAATACTATACAAAAGATTAGAAGCTTCTCAAAACTTATCCCACTGTGATATGGGACACACAGAAGAATGCAAATGTATAAAAATTGAAATAATTCTGATAGCAGCCCCATTATTAGTTTATTATGAAATGATTTAATAATATAGGCTGCAATTGTGCCTCTCAAAGAGGCTTGCAAAAATAATATATAACTCTGCTTTAGGCTTCAGACATTTTTTCCTTGCAATTTAAGTAAAAGATGTGTGTATCAATGAAGAACAAGATTTTATTACTTGTATACTTTGATTTTCTTCCACACGCTGGTATAGAAAATTACTTTCTAGTAAACCTCTTGGGCAAGAATGTACACTAATATGGACCCAAATCAATAAAACATAAGCTGTGTTTAACTAAAAAAGTAAAATTCATATACTATGCCCCATAAAAATTCTATTTTATATCAGATCACATATTTCATGAATTTGATCTCTTCTTTGGAAAAAAAAACAAACCTTGAAACATTTTAAATGCAGTTTACTCCCTTTGCTGTGAAAGAAGTATTTTCCCAGGAATCATGAGCTCTGTGGGGAATGCTAAGTGAGCTACTTCCTGAACTGCCACCATTGTCGCAGTTCCTGATGCCAAGGGCACCACCATTTTGCTTGATCTGAAAGTGTAAGAGACAACGGCCTTTTGGAGTTGCTAGCACAGTTCCCAACAACGTCCTTTCAGCCAAGAGAGCCAGCAAAAAAGCTTAAGGGTTGCTTAGGAATTAATCTGGTTGAATTCAGGGAACATGGAATAGAGCAGTAGATTTGCACTTTGCAAACATAAATATTACAGGGCAACTTCTAAATTTTCATCTTAAATAATTGTATAAAATAAAGGCCATGGAGAAGTTAAATCTGAGTTGACAATGTAACTCAGATCACCTATCAAAATCTGAAAGCCAGGACAGCAACAGAGCAACATTAAAATAGCTAAAACATCTACCTGAGGAATCTGTCAAAAACTCACATACTGCTTTTAACAAGATGCCTTCTCCACAGGGACCTGAACTTCTCACCAAACAAAATCTATTTCTAACTTTATGGTAAGGCTTCTCTAGGTTTGCCAATTTCCTCCTAGCAGCAAGAATTGTAGGGCTTAATATTTGTGTTTAATTTGATCAGCAAACGAGTATCCCCAAATTATTTCTGAAATTGGAAAAGAATATAGAATTCAAATGCCTAAATCTGAAAAGCCATCCAGTATTTCATAACAGTGAAACAATTAGACACAAGACTCCACTTTCATAAATAATCCTGGGAAGGCACATTAATACCTGAGGTAGAACAGAAGCCATCAACTCCAATATCTGTACTTAACTGTACTACCATTTTCCCCACAGAACAGTGAAATTCTGCAGTTTGTCTTTCTAGTAGCCACATTTACCATGAACAAAGTATTATTAGCCATGCTTTGCAGCTTCAGGTTTTTGTACTATGGAAAAATGGGAAGGTTTCAAGCATGTGTAGCATCTTACATCTCTGGAGTTCCAGAAAAAAATATGAAATGCATTTTGGAAGCTGACCAGGAACTTCTGTGGTGGTCTAAAACTAGAAAAAAGAAAATGAACTGTGTGATTCTATACATGTCTTCTCAGAAGAAAGAATCACTGAGTTCAGTGAGACTTCCTCCTAATAAGTAGGTATAGGATTGCAACCTAAAAGTACTTCTAGATGACAGCTACTGTGAATGAATGGTTGACACTGTCTTTGACATGGAATCTGCTTTACTATTGGATAAAGATGACATCTGAAAGCAAGTTAATTGCTGCTTCAAATAAGTTTTCAGACACAATGGCTTTTAACATCACTGTATGCAATAGATACACGTGGAACAGAATTAACTGAAGGGATTCAAAAGAGTCCACCAAAATAGCCCATGCAAATGGCACACCACACCTTTGAAATCTGAGCTTGAGGAGGACACGTTGGCTAGGGAGTGGTCTTGGCTGGGATTGTTTGGATGACCTAGCTTCATACGGCTCTTAAAGAATGGCCACAGATATCACGGTGAGGTAGGATAACATTCTATGGCTGTAATCCTGCACCGTTACCTGGGAGTAAGTCCTACTGAACTTAATAGGACTCACTTCAGAGGGCATGCAAAGTCTCATACTATCAATCTGCTAAATGACAATTAAGAGACCTTTTCATATTTATAATCATGTGGCTTCCTGAGAAAGAAAGCCTGGGGGAAATGATATAATTTCTGGTGCTGTGCCTTTCAAAACTCACTCTGGTACTGTATCATTAGAAAATGTAGCAGCAGTTTGAAGATCTGCACAGCACAGAAATTAACCTAAAAGAATTGTCCTTTTGCATTAGGCCTTAAAAACCTGACTTAAAGTTTTTTGAAACCAGACTTTTCTTGTTCACATCATGCAAGTGTCTGCACAGGACAAACAACATAGCCTATGTTCCTGAAGGTTCCTGATGATTCCTAAATTATTGACAGGAACACAACTGTAAGCCATATGAAGGTGTACTTAAGCATTCTTTTTAGAGGTAATAAGAAGCCAACTAAACTTCAGTGGATATTTTAAAATGTTTTAAATGAGACACTTTTCAATTACAAATTCATACTGGCAAACTTAATTTTGAAAATAGGGCTTCTGGTTTTCATTTAAACTGATATTTACTAGTAAACGCCTGCTGGAAAAAACAAGACTTACCGGTAAATATTAGTTTATTTCCCAAAGATATCAACTTTTTTTCACACTGTTCTTAGATTCAGAACTCCAGCAGGCAGCTTTACACCAAACAATGCCTAAGACAAAAATGAGCTTTTCAGCTTTATTGATATTTGCCAAAAAAACATTACCCACCCACCCCCAGGGTATATTGGTAGGCAGATAAATGCTGAGAACAGGATCCAGAAGCCCTAATTCTAAAAACTTCTTCAAGGGTGAGCTTATTTTTAGTGCTCAGGCCAATTTATGATACAATTAATCTGATATATGTTATTAAGTGTTAGAGCAACTCTTTATACCTCAAGACACGATCTGATGCCTGGTTTGATTTGGATGCATCACAGCTCTGATGCTTCTCTTGAGCTTTAGCCAGTTTCTCTGCTGCAGCAATAGGACATCCCGAGAGGCTGCAATTACAGAAAGAAAATGTAATTGTCCTGTCCTTCATAGAGCCCTTCTTAGTAAGCATAAGAATGATGCTTGCTAGGAAAAATATAGCTATGGCCTGCATTACTGCTCCAAGATGCTCAACTCTGCCTGTAAAGACTCAGGGCTGACATCATTAAAAAAAAAACAACAACCCAACAACTTAGTTTCCTGATGTAAACCAGAAGACTTCAGTTCTATTGAACTTGAGACCTACCAAGGAATTGCACTATCACAGATACATGTTGCAACATGCCAGATGCTTGAATATAACTGCTCTTTGCCATCCATTTTGGAGAAATGAAGTCTATTGTGATGTTGATCAGCCGATGTGAAATACTGGCGAGCTATATTCAGCTTGGTAGGTCCCAAGTTATGCTTCAAGTTTGGTGTTCCTGTGAATGTGCAGGAGAATGCTGCTGCCAGGCATACCGAATTAAAATTGAAAATTGGGGATGTTGAACCCTTGACAGAACTGCCTGCAATCCTGCCAATGGCATTGCGTGCTTTAGGAAAGTTTATCATTAAAAGGACTACTCTAATTATTCAATGTCAATGGGCCACATGTACATATTATGCAATTGTTGGGTGTATGTGCATGTTTAAAGAAGGCTGCAATAATCCTAAAACTACTTACTTGAAAATAAGCAATACTGAATTCAGTAGAACTTACTCCTGGTAAATATGGTTAGAAGTGTCCTGCAAACTATGTTGTACAATTATAGTTCAGAATAAAATTTGCCCTGGAAGGAAAATGATATGGCTTACTCCTGAATGGATGGAAACTGCCTTAGAAAGAACCCAGGCAGAAGGATACAGCAGATATGGAACTGAGCAGATAATGGCAAATTTGTTTCCACTGGAAAAAGTTTGTGAAAATAAACACACTTCAAGTGCTACATATCAAGCACTTATGACTGGCAGAAAGAAAAGTGGTTCTGCATGGCTTGTGGAATGCTTCTCTGATCCCAAGATTTCTTCAACAAAATAAGAGAAAATTAGCTTTAGTTATCAAGGGGTTGTAGGAAAATAAGCATCTTATCCCATGTTTAGACGTCTTGTGTTAGTATAAGTTGTGCTAAGGTTACTTTCAGATTGGTAAAAGCTGAGAGCTTCAGCGATCACCAGTCCTCCAGGATTTCCCCCCACCCCACTTTCTTTCCGCCCTCCACTTGTTTGTCCTAATTGATTTGTGTCTGCTGTAAATCTGAGTATGTGATTTATGCACTGGGTAAGAGATTATATCAAATGCAGGCATGCATGGAGATGTGTTGGGGAAGGAGAGGGTTAAAGGTTTGCTTTTATGATCTTATTTTAAGAAACTTAACAACATTTAAACAAATAAAAAGAAAATTAGCTTAAGGTAAAAAAGAAATTAGTATACTTCAATGCTACATTTCTTAGAGGGACCTCAGACTAAATCTTCTTGAACTCCAGGAAGGAGGGGCTGAGGAAAGACCCCAAACAGAAGAAATTGTCCAGAATGGTTTTAAGAATACAACATATAGTTAGAGAAAGTTTCCCAAACACTTCCTTGTGTAAACTTTTGATAAACAGGATCTCTTCTTCTCATAGTAGTTCTCTTTTGGGGAGCAGGACATCGAGGTCTGACCGGAATAGTAGAATCATGAAAAACCAAAGGGGGCGCCAGGCAACATGCCCTAATGTCTCAAAGACTTTACAGAGATGTGAAGTTCTAATAACCCTACAACTTCTACAGGCTGTGAAAAAGACTTAACTTTAAATCCCCTAAGCTTTCTCCAGTGATATCATCAAAGCCATGGCTGTTTGATACAATCAATATTTTAGTTTCATACAGCTTCTTTTCCTCAACCAGTTTCTTCTTCAAATTTTGCAGTGATTTCATATATTTCTATATTTTATATTTTTATTTCTAAATAATATTAGAAATATAATTTAAGGATAAAATTATTTTGTTTCTTTTGTGGTACTGAATGGGATCATGTCAGAAAGCCATTTTGCCTTTTCCTCTAGGATGTTAAAGTCATTTGGAAATAATTTCTCTGTTTTATTCCTTTATGATTTAAGACTGTATTACCTGGATATTTTCTATTTTACAAACACTGATATTTAGAATTCACAGCACTTCATGTATGGTAAAGTAGAAGGAAATAAAGGAACTCTGCCTTGCTTCTGAATAGGTATGCTATCTTTTACTACATTCTGTTTTATTCTTCAGGGCTGCCATTTTAGGTTTCAGTAGGGCAGCAGAAAGATAGAGGCAGTATGGGATCAAGAATCATGGTAAGGTTAAGAACATTATTCATTATATTTAAGTGAAAACTGTGAAGAAGCAGAGCATCTGAAAAGGATTTGTCGTAGGTCCTTTTTGCCCTACCTCAAGTAACTAGAAATACAGGTGAGGAATACAGAAGTACAGGTGAGAAATCATTTGCATCCTCAAATATTGGAGGAAGCATGTTTCACTCCTCCCACAATAAAAATGCACTACTGACTGCCTGCTGAAGTTGTTTAAACTTTCATTGTATACAATTCTGACTTATGAAACACAAACTCAGACAAGCTATGATAAGCTTTGAAATTTAGCTTATCACCTGAATTAACTGTGCCCCAAAATTAATCCTCTCATACAGTAAGCCATAAAACACAATCAAACTAAAGACATCCATCAATCTGTTCAGTTAAATAAAGGCCCAAAGTATTTAGACAGACACACACAGCCCACAATACAAAGAGACACTTTGGAGGTGCGGCAGCTGTGAAATGGTTTCTGCCTACAGTATGACTCAAGGAGCACATTCTTACCTTCTGTGAGAATTCCTGTTGCTATTTACGTGGCCCCGGCCTGTGCAGCCTGGTGTAGGACACTTAAGTACGTTTTCATGCATGGCAAGAACTTGACAAGGAGAAGTAAAGGAAACAGCAGAGTGCGGAAACAACAAGAAGAAAAAAGATTTCAAGTCCCAGTTTGTAGGAAGCCATTTTAGTACAAAGCAAGATTAATTAATGATTAGCATTCCTGAAAACAGACATGTGGCAGGTATAGCCAATAAAGCCTGGTGAGGGAAAGAGGTGTTGTAGCACTATACTTGTTAACATAGGATGAGGTTAATACATTAAGAGTTATGGAGGGAAGGGCTCTAACAATTAATGTGTCTCTGGTGTGACAGTGGAGCAAAAGGCTGCATACGTAAGCACTAAGCAAAAGCAGTGAACATCTTAGTGGTAAATTGGAGGTTGGAAGCAGTGTTAAGATGCATATATGCAAGAATAAATTGATTTATGTACACAGAATAGGCGGAATTCGGAGTCAGTATGCAATAAAATTCTGAGGCACTGAATTCAGCCCAGTGTAACCAATGGAGAGTGTGAGAGGGATCTGAAACCCAGTCATGCGTGTTGGTTCTGAGGCCCACAACTGCCTTGGTTATACTGGACTGTTGCTTATTAAAGTTCAATGGCAGTTAGTCGTGTTAACATGTAATCATGTCTAATATTTTTCATCTAGTATGTTTATAATGGGTCAAAGGGGAAAACAAATAGAAACAAAGAATGTGAACATATTTTTAAGCCAACAGGTTGGTGGAGCGATAACTTATGAACCACTAGGTCTGGTTTTTGCAAACAGGGTTGTCATTCTCCACCACCAAGCAAGCATCGGGGAGTAAGTCAGCAATGGAGTGGAGGGCTACTCTGTAATAGTATCTCTATTTCCAAATGAGGAATTTAAAATAGCAAGGATCCCATTTTGTAGGTCTCAGTCCTGTAAGACCACATGACAGCACAAGGTTAAAGGGATCGTTGGACTGACTCAGAAGGTGTATACTTTATCAATGAATCCTTTATGTGCTAAATTAATTTTTAGTGTATAAAGAAATTAGGCTGTGACTAATTCCTGTGCATGTGTGAAAAACATTGAAAAATGTTTTGAATCCATATCACCATTGCATAATGGCTGACACAAAATTATGTTGCATTTAAAGGACCCAGTCTTGAAATAGAGTTAATGCTTACACAAAAGGACATCAAGAATAGAACCTTTACATATTGATTTAAAGAATGGTCACAACCACCATCATTCATCACCATCACCACACCACTAGCAGTGTACTAAAGATGTGAAAGCTTCACTCTGAAATTCCTGCTATTCAAAGCTGTTCTTGAAACATGCTTTACAAGCCCAGCACGGCAGGAGTCAGGGGAAAAAAAGAGAGAGAGATGATCTCACCTTTTTCACTTTTGTCACTACTGAACATGCAAACTGTTTAAAGCTATATTCTTCTTTGATCGGCAACATTTCCTAAATGCTTCATGTTTACCTTTTTCAGGTGGGGGGAGAGATGAACCACTTTGAGCAACTGAGTAAACATTTGCATTTGAGAAAATTATAGGCCTTGCTAAACTGCAAGTTGAATTCCTTTAATCAGCTAAATGCTTACACCAGCTGAAGAGCGGTGTTTTTTCCTTAACAGGATTTCCCCTTATATGATCTTTATTCTAGTAAGTGACACCATGCTGTGTGAATAGGACAATACTTTGGGGATGAAGACTTCATTGCACTTAACTCCAGACTGAGTAAGTGCTTTGGGAGTCAGTGTCAAGTTTCCTATGCACTTGTTCTTTGTATTCACTGCTGCACAACAATCAAGTTTCTCAGTCACCAGGAAGAAAACAAATGGGCTTACCCTCTTGCTGTTCACTGAGAAACACCCTGAAATATTTCCAGTCATGTTAGGAATGATAAAATGTGATCTTGGGTGAGGGGCAACAAAACTCATGCGATGATGCCACATCGCATGGTAAGTACTCCTAGATACAATGGGAACACCTGTCACAGGGATACTATATCCCAGATTTTTAAAAGCCACCAGTGTGTAATAATTTGAAGTGATGTCATTTATTTCATTTTCTACTGCCCAATAGCTGAAGCTCTTGTAATGGTTTCAAGTGCTGCACAGTATCAGGGAATGTGGGTGCAGTCCTATGCAGTAGGCCGCAACCTTGCTCACGCCAGGCCAGACCTACTCTGGTCTGAGCTTGCAGCCAAGTCCCACAGTGTCCCAGTTTAAAATGACATTTGTTGAACAGATCAGGCAATAGTTTGAGTAGCAGTGATCTGAACCAATCACATACCTGGGGGGGGGGGGTTGGGCAGTTAAACAATGAGGTCCGAAAGTGGTGTGTTTGTTGCTCCTTATTGGCTGAGTCTCCTCAAAGGGAGTGTGTGACAGTTTCAGGTCTCTGCTACTCAAAACTTATACTCGAAACACCTCACATTACTTGAATCATGTTCCAGTCTTGCAGGAGGGGCAGACTAGAGGAGTGCTTGTCCCAACAGTTAAAAACCTCTGTGTAAGTGTGTCTGTGTGGCAGCAGGGTGTGGTGTGGTCATCATGGGTAGCAGCAGTGAGTAGACATGTGGTGGGGACCTGGCTTGTGAGTCAGTTGTGGTGGCTGGTGGGCTGGCTAGCAGTGGGCCTTTGGTGGCATTATGCGGAAGACTGACCAGACTCTGGTGTCAGCCTTGCAATGCATGTTCAGACAGAAAGTAGTCCTCTGTCTCTCTAGATTCTAAACATGCATGAGATTGTACCCTTAATCTGTTTTATATATTTTTCTTAGTATTCAAGTGGACAGTTGTTCATAATCTAAGACAATTATGGCAGCTGATTTTTTTCCTTCTTAACATTGTTTCTCTCCCTTCATAGCTTCAGCATTTTTGCACTAACATTCATGCCAAGTTGTACTACTTTAAGTCAACCATATTTTTAAAGGTCAAATATTTGAATTAATTGCTCACAAATTGTTATATATAAATTTAAATTTAAGCTGCACATTTTCACACTGAAAGGAACATTTGCTCCTTTATTTGAATAAGAAAGACCCTAATTTGTTCCCCATCCCCCACTTGACCAGTGGCTGCAATCACTTAGAATTAGATGTACTATTTTGCTTGGGAAAAAACTTATAGACAGAAATCAGCTGTTTATAAATACCCTAATACTATCAGAATCAAAGAATACAGCTTTAAAACATCTTCCTTCAAGCATAAAGGTTAGTATAGATGTGAAAATGATGAAATAAAGACAAAATGTAAATATAACATAAAACAGATTGCTAAATTGAGACATATCATACTGGAAAAATGGGAGGAAAAAGAAAGAAAGAAAGAAGGAAAGAAAGAAAAAGCTTCTTAATGCATGCTAGAAAAATTTGTGTGGAGTTTATCCCCAGTTTTCATGAAACAATGTGGACTTACTTTCTGGAGGGACCCTATCTTTGTGTGGGCATCCTGACAAACTGCGGTGATGGGGGTAAAGCCCCGTTACATGGCCAGTTCCATCACACCCAGGGGTAGGACATTTGCTCTCTTTCTTTTCTGTTCTTGAGGGATCTATAATTTACAACAAATGTGTCAAGTGAATGATGTTTTTCAAATTTCCAAATGGATGAAGGTTCATTTAATGAAATCAGTTACTCTTTGGAAAATGTTCTTAAAGAACACTGGAAGAAAACACATCTGCTACTGCTTAAACATTTTTATTTCCTGCTTCCTCCTCCTTCACAGACTTCTATGATCACAGCTGTTCCCATTCATGGAGGGTAATAGATAGTGACTTTCTTCCAGCAAAGCCACAGCAGTTTCAGTTAATGTACTTCTGTAAAGCATTAGCTATAGGGTAGAAGTTGGCTATGTTTTGTCTTCGTTTTAGCACTATTTGCCTCATGTATTGAAGTCTATTGATTTACTGTGTGAGCGAGGAATTCAGAGTCACAGTGAGAGCGGACCCAACTCCTTGCCAAACTTCTTCAAATGTTCAAGGCAAATTCATTCTGTTTCAATATCATTCTAAAATTGACAACACTGATTTCCCAAGAGCTGTTATGGAATAGTAGAAGGTACATAAAAGGGTGCTTCTGTCCAATGAATATTTACTATAGATTTAAAAAAGTTAATACTTGATTTTAATTTGGTAAATGACAGTTGTATGGTTATGCTTGAGCATTCATACATTTCCAACAGTTTACTTTTTCATAACAACCTATGAAAGTAATTTTTCATCAATTAAGCATGTATTTATTTTTGCCATGAAAGCAATGGAATTATTGCTGAAATTCCTTTGGATTTAGGACTGGAATCCCAAGGACAATCTTATGTGGGCGGACTTTGTTCCAAAACACTCCTTTTCATTTACACAATCACTTATCCTGGGTTACCAGCACAGGAGCTAAATTCAACCTCTGATTTGTAGCCACATTCAAGATAATTTATCAGAAGAAAAACAACAAGCAGCATGTTGGAAGAGGGAGGGATGGGGGGACCATGGTGAGTAGGAGTCATTCTTCATTTGACACTGCCCTTCTCACCATCACCCTGCATGTCATGTTCTTGCTCTGTGCCAGCACAAGTAGGGCTGAAAGAGGCCTTGGTGGAAAGCTGCAACTGCCCCAGACTTACCAGTGACAGAAAAATTAACTTTGGTTTTATTTGTCTGAGCCTGACAAGGGCACCATCGGGGAATGAGGGGCGGGAAATTACAGCCAAAAGGAAGACTGAGTCTGGATCTTCTCAAGGAGTGGGTCTTGCTTACTCATACTGTCTTTCCTTCCTCACAAACATTAAAGAGTTCAGAAGACCAACCATGAATGCAACTGGGAATGGAAAAACTGTGAACAGTCTCCAGCACTCCAAATTATAGGCAAATGATTTCCTGTGTCCCCTGTTCCTCCTATGGTTAGACCCATGTGAACCAGAGATTGAAGTCAGCTGAAACAATTGACAGTGCCTACCAAGGTAAGGAAACCAGGACTGTATTCCCAGCTAATGATTGTGTAAATATCCAGATTATAACTCAGGGTCATTGAACAAATTATGTTGCAACAAAGCATGTGTGCTGTAGAACACCCAACAGTCAGCTGCAGCCTTCTCACCTCCCTCAGAAAAGCACCAATCTACATTTGTTAAAGGCACACATTACATTTTTCTAAACTATGTGTTACAGCTAAAACCATTATGTATGAAACTGTTCTTAGGTGCTTGGAGAAACACAGTAAGCTTGAATAATCAGGATAGTCAGTGAAGGTATTTAGGTAACCACTCTGATCAACAAACAATTTTGATTGTATAATGAAGTTCCAGGTCAGAACATCATGTCTGTAATATTTTAAAATTAGGAGTAATTTATACACAGGTATCAAACACAGATATGCAATAGAGTGTGTAACATTCTCCTATAAAATTAAAAAGTTCTTAAGCATTCTATAATATTCATCCTCCTAACATTTTTTTTTTAAAATCTAGCAGCACTGTATATTTGAACTTGGCCTTGTGATTTCTTTGCTCCAGGTTGACATTAATTTCCTTCAAAATAATATTTGTTATCCTGTTTTCTCTGACATCCTAAGTCTTAATTCAAAACAAATCTTATTTGACAATTCAAGGTCCTGAAAGATTTAAGGGGAAGGGAAGGGCAGATGAAACCAGGAGATTTATATTTCCTAACTGGGGTATGTAATGATTTCTGACTATTGATTCATTATAGGCTGATCCAATACATAGGAAGTCTTGGGCATGTGGCTTTTCTACATTTGAACATGGATTTGCTGCCAGTTCACAGGAATGAAACGAAAGGCATGTGCAGTTTTGAGGACTTTATAGCTGTGGACAGTTTTACATGGTGGCTGCTTCACATGGTTTGTTCATCATGGACTGGGAGCCACCACATAAGCAAAGTAAAGTGACAAGCATGCTCCAAGTATCATGTGCACTGGTTCTGGGTTTGCATAGTTTGTGCTAGAACACAGTGCACTAGCCATGTAGGGAATCCCACCACCAAGAGATCAATGAGCCCGCAGCTTCTGATGCATGCAAAACACAAGAAGATTCTCAAGCTTCCGGGAGGCAAAAAATACATGGCTAGAGAAGCTGCATGAGTCACTAGTTGAGAAGGCCTACTCCAATGGTTTAAATCCAAACATTTTAGCCTAACTAGGATGTCAAGGCTTCCTGGAAAGCGGACAACTAACTGATATAAGCACTTTTTGCATTATATAATATTAAAATGCATTTGATAAGGCCTTCTCTCAAAAAATCTGATAATGTAAAACAAATGCTAAAATTCCTCATATCAGTACCTATTTCTTTTCACTTTGAGAAGGTAAGCTGGGTCACTGAACCCAGAACCACAGAAAAAATCAAGTGTCGGGGCTGGGGACAGAACTCATTAATGCCTGCCTGTATGTCTCTGAGGTTACAGTCATACCATTTGTTTGCATACAAGCTTTCCAGAAAGCACTTTATGTTATCATATTGTTATCAAAAAGAAACCAATAATAGCTTTGTATTTTGGTTTATCTGCTACTTCATGTGATGCTATTGAAGGGCAACAAGTTACAAACAGTTAACCCAAATAAAACAGATCTTTGGATCTGCATTGAGTAAATCTACCAAGATCAATGGGTACTGTGGGAACTATGTTAGCTGCGGAGCTGAACCAGGTAGGATTGTAGCTTAACTTGGAATTCAAAGCTGTCTGCTTAAAACAACTAAGATTGAACCCTAGCATATTCCAATTATGTGAGCCAATCAGAAATGTGAAACATAGTATTTTTGGTTCCAAGTGACTATACATATATAGCTTTCCTACCATTACATTTCTTTGGTCCAATCACAGCATAAATGGAAACAGTTTGATCTATTTTTGTGTAAGAAAATAGTGAAGATGGGTTTGATATTGACAATTTGGTGTTCAATTTAACATTATGAATAGGCATGTTCACATCACATAATTAGCCCATGATTTGCCAGGGATGGGCAGACTTCATGAGAGGCACACAAGCCATCTCCAGTTCGGGGGAAGAAAAACAAAGTTGAATGCCCTTTTCATAGATTCTTGTGCAAAATGCAAGTCCAGGCACCTTGAGTTGTTTATGGGATAAACAGTCCAAAGTTAATCCTAAAACAAATCATAAGTTAACTCTTGGTTATTTAACACATAAACAACTCGGTAGTCATGCATTGTTTTTTGAAATAAAAACAAATCATGAACTCTGGGCATCTCTGGTAAATCATGAGTTACAAATCCACAATTTGCCAGTGTGATCTGTGAACCAGATCATAGTCTGTTAAAACTATTTTATTTGTTCTACATGGAAAGCAGGGGAACTGTCCCATATCTTCATAAAACTGTGTAGTCAGAACTGCAAAATTATCAGAACTCTTGTAATTTCACGGCAGGGGGAGTGAGGGAGACAAAGATACCCAGAGGCCTCCAACATGGTGTAAGCATATATCTAGAGAAAGATGGCCTCTCATTGATTTTTGGAACACATCACAGCAGATCTTGCAAACATAAGAGAAGCAGAATTATTGTGCATTCCTTTTGATTCTCCTACTTCCCTAGATTAAAGAGTGAGTATATTCCCTGAGATAAGTATCACTCATCTTCTGCAACAGCCTTTGCTGACATATAGCGGGAGCATATATACTTGATGATGAACAATATAAAAACAGTACACCTTTCATTCGTTCTCTTTTTAAAATTTATCTAGCAGAGCAAAGAATGCATGTGGTTCCTTCCCCCCTCCTAATCTTCTAAAATAAAGAATGGATCCAGACACCAAATTTGAGATTAATTTCCCCAGATTTCAACTTCAGACCTAGGCTCATGGCCCCTATTACATTCAGCATTCTTCCTTACTTAAATGCTAATATTGGGTCTGATTAAAATTTACAAGGCCAGAAATAGACATAAAACTTAGCAAAATATGCACATAAATCCTGATTTTAACTGAAACTATTTATCTGACACAGTACTGAAAAAACTACATTAATTTTGATTAATTGTAATAGTAAGAATTATTAATATTGAACTATTTGCACAGTCCTTTTTGGTCCTTTTTGGCGTGTGTTTCTTGTTTTGTTTTATAAATTTGAGCTTTTCTGAAATATGCATTTGTACAAACATACCTGTATGAACACATTTGTCTAATGTTTGAACCAGACTAGAGACAATGCCCTTGAATGAATTGCATGATGAATTTTGGCAGGCATTCCTGCTCTCTGTATTCATGATTACTCTGTCCATGCATTATACTATACAAAAGTGTGCCCAACAGTGATTGGCATGTCAGAAATGTGAACTAGCTTAGACTTATGGTGCACACCTATAAATTCTTAGATGGAAAAAGGTCCTACAACTCCCAGCATTCTTCCACCAGCCATGCTGGTGGAGGAACACTGGGAGTTGTAGGACTTTTTTCCGTTTAAGCAAGCACAGGAGTGCATTGTTAATTAATAGTTCAGGCAATGCTATAATACAACATTGATTAAAAATGGAATGCAAGAAAGTTGTATAATTTATAAAGGCTCTTGAGCTCTTTCTTTGCCTTACAAACTTAGCATAAGGAAAAGAAAAATCTCCTGTGCAGACTTATAAGTTTTAATGTTTTAATCTCATAATTAAAATTTACAGTCCTGTTATGAAGTTCATAGTATAAAAAGGAAGCATACCAATTTAATAAATGATGTTATGGAAAGCCTAGCATCATCTGTAACCACCTATTCTGTTTATTCCTTTCTTCAGTACTGTAGATTTCTCAGCTCCTGTTAAAGTTACTGGAAGTAGAAATTGTTCTGCAACTCTTGGGGATATTAGACACTTTACAAGAGTATTCACTCATAAAAATATCATGTTTATATTTACATGCTATATACCTACATCTGTACATAAAACATAATTATGGTAATTCCCCATATATTGTCAATTTCGGTTTTGTATATTGGATTATTGTTAAGGTAGCACCTTAACTATTTCCACAAAGACATGTAACTAGTGAAGTGGAATGCATATAAGAAAGAAATTGCTATTGATTTCAGCCCAGGACATAGCATGCCTTGCATAGCAAATGGTTTCCATTACCTTACTATTTAAGATAATTAATGTGCAGTCATTGCCCCTATCTTATGTTATCTGTCTTCCTGATACTACTCAGTTTTGATCAAACAACTCTACATTTTATATGGGGGAGGATTCATCAATAACCACCAATTTGGTGATAATTTTATACATCAAGATGCCCCTCACACTCCAGTCTATAAAAATATGCTTTTCTCCACTAATTGACTGACTACCCCACACCAAGTCTAAACATTCAAGGCAGTTCATTTAAGTTTGTTTCCCTTTTAGCTTTTGAAGCATAACTTGAACCATCAATCATAATCAGCATTCAGGATAACCTTTGCCTCTTATTGCATCATGAGCTCTTATTTTCTTTGTTTTTCCTAAAATGGTATATTTTTGAACTCCTGCACAAACCCTCTTACTTTGAAATATTCCATAGGTTTTTCAAATTTTATAACTACTTTTAAAATTACAAACAGCACATCATATGCCTAGTTTGTTAAAATGTATCCCATCCTTCATCATAATACAACATACATTAGATAGAAATATTACCTTTACCATAATATGGCTTTTTGACATGGCCGTCACTGGACTTAGACTTCCTGTCATCTCCAGAAAGCTGTCTTGAAGACTGCTCCTCATAGGATCGCATATTATCCCTCCTTCCAGCTTCCATTGCCATTTTTTCCCTCATGGCTTTTGCTCTTTCTGTTTCTAAAGCAATAGCTTTCTCAAGTAGTGTTAAATTTCCTTTTGTCATATCAAATACCTCTTCAGACCTATCTGAAGTAACGGAGGTGGTGTCATCATCCCTTTCATGACACCCATCCTCTTTTGCACAGCTAGAAAAAGTTCTAGATCGGGGGCTCAACTGTTCTTCAAGCCTCATTAAGTTCATCATATCCGAGTAATTCCTATCAGGCGTCCTTCCTTGGAAATCGTCTTCTTGCCTGGCATGTTGGCGAGAATTCATGTTTTGTTGTTGATTTCTTTCTTGTGGGTTTGTCTCACTGAGTTTCCTGGCCAGATCAAAGCACTGATTCCGCAAACATTCCAAGCTGCTGAGACATACCTCTTCATCACTCTCCTCCACCATTTTCTCCGAAAGCCCATTGTTTGCAGGCTTCCCTAGCATTCCATAGTTCATATTCCTGTTTTCTTGCTGAGACATATTGTCTGTATAATTTCTGTCGTTAACATTTTCTGAAAGCACTACACCATGTCCTTGTGCTAACAATTTCAGTGAGTCCACAGTTTCCCTAACAACGTCACTGTCTAAATCTAAACTCAGCTCACTCTTACGACCAACATTTTCATTTTTGTCGCTATCATCTTCCAGGCTATTAGATGTATTGCTATTCATTTCTGATTCTGTCCTGGCTCTGTATGCTGCATCCTCTGCAATTTTGCCAAGATTTAACAATGACTTGGCCACCAGTTCATCATAATTATCATACTCATCATTATTGTTATCGTCTTTTTCTGTGTCCTGCATTCGAGTATTGTGACAATTCATTTGATGGTCTTCTGCATAGAAAAAGAAAAGGAACAAAGAAAGAAAGAGAAATGGAAAAGAAAAGAAGAGTAGCTAGAATTGGAACTGTTTTTGCAGTACCATGGACAGAACACAAATGGCCTGTCAATTATTCTTTAGCACACAGTAGCTCATAAGCACTTAGAAAAGCCAAGCTACTTTAAAGTTAGACTTCAGAATTAAGAACATGGGTTGTTCTTAAAGACATTTGTATACCTTGGCTACAGAACATGAATATCCTTTGCTAAACTCTTAATGAACTACTACTGGTAATAGCAAGCATACTTTTAAACAAGCATATTACTTAATAATATAATATAATATAAAATCGTTTGACCTTCTGTATTTACCTTTTCCCTTATTTCTTTTACAGTTTAAAATAATTGGATTATTTGCGCTATTTTGTGTGAATCCTTCAAATTGCCCCAGTCCTATTGTTCTAATACAGCAGATGGCACAGGAGCGAATACTATGGGATACACACACATACATACAAACACACACACACACACACACACACACACACACACACACATGTTGTATCCAACAGGGCTGCTCCATCTCTGCCATTTCTATTGCACTTAAGGGACCCTTGGCTTGCACAACAGGGAAGTAGTGCTTCCTGAAGCAAACTGGGAAACGAGTAGAAGCGCTCATTTCTGGACCTGGGCTGGTCAACAGAGTTGCCTTCTGTGAACATGCTGTTACACATCCTTTCAGTTTCACTCATTTTTGACTGCACAAATGGGAGGTCTTGCTGGTGGATGAACAGTATTTTATACTGCCTATTTATATGCACATATGTGTGCATGCATTCTATACCTTGAAAAAGCTATTCATATAAGTGCCTATGCACACTGATTATATTTGTTAAAACCAGACTTAGATGACTTGATGGGTCTTCTCTATGTATGATAGAACTGGATTCCAAACTATTATATGCAAAGCAGCTACATTATCCGGGAGCACATGGGCTAGGTGGATGTTTCAGATAATAAGATAGATCTTGGAGGTACACTGCATATCCAAATATTTAATTTTAAAAGGCAAGCATATAAAGACATACACACATATTCTAAGCAATCATTTTAATTGTATGTCCAAACAAAGCAAGTAAATATCTGCATTTTCTGAACTGATAAATTTGTCCTTCACAATGATAGCATTTACTAAATACTGAGCCTATTACCCTGTGTGCCACATCTAGCAAGGTACCATTTTGAGGTTATTCCTGCTCACATAATGATTCCATAGCAGAGAGAGAGAGAGAGAGAGAGAGAGAGAGATATATATATATATATATATATATATATTTGTCATGCTTGTTGGAACTGCTGAAAGACTTGTGACAGAAGTTTGCATTTCTATTGCCACATGTTGTTAAACAGATTAACTCATAGTGGTTATTAAAAAACATAATCTGCCTGTTTCTTTTCATTACACCCAGAACGTCTATCATCTATTTATTTATTTATTTATTTATTTATTTAGAAGACTTCTATGCCGCCCCATTCGCCGAAGCCTCGGGGCGGCTCACAACCATAAATAAACTTCAATAGAATAACATAAATTAACAATATAAATTAAGTCACCAATATAAATATAAATATATATTGTCCTAACCAAATATATAGAAGGTCATTTCTCCCCCATTCCGCCACACTCAAACATCACCAAGAAACCACACCTAGGAGGTGGCTATGCAGGCTGAAACAAGCTTGGCTCTTGGTTGCTGGAGCACAAGGTGGCAAGGAGCAGCTGTTGCCCCCCCCCCACTTCCCATATGCTGTCCCCAAGTGCACCCCATTGCTTTCTCTCCATATAAGTGAGAGGCTCCTATGGACTGCCAGAGGAAAAAGCAAGGCACAACCCTCTTCCTCAGGTAGTGGAGTGATGGTAGAATCTCCTTCCACCTGACACTGACTGAGGGCACAATCCCACACACGTTTAGGAAGAAAAAAGCCCCAACTTGGGTTTTTTTTTTCTGAAGGGCTTCTTTTTCTATCTAAACATGTACTTTATCTCCCTCATGGGGATCCCACAAGAGACCACTGCGTGCAATCCACTTCAAACTCAAGAGAGCCCTTGAAATGTATATGTCCTCCTCTCTCCATATACCCCATCTGTTATGACAATGGGAATTTTTTACTATTAATTTTAATCACATTTACAAAGGAATTCTCACCTCCCCTCTGCTTCTCCCCTTTTTAAAAGGGCATTGTAAGTTACAATTGGAATGTCCTAACCAAATTCTCAGTTGTCTAAATCAGCAGAGCTATACTGATTAACATCAGCTCATCTGTTTAATGATATGAATATAAATTATTCTGCAATAGTTGAACATTTAGTATAACAATCTAAAACTTGTTACTTTTGGGATGGGTGATACAAATACCAAATGTGAACTAGAGGCAGAGAATAGGAAAGAGAAAACGAAGATATGGAGAATTTTACGTTATTTACAGTACAATAGATTAACGTTTGCTTGCATGTAGGAAAAAAAAATCACTCCAAATCAATGGACAAAAGAACAAATCAGAACAGCAAATACAAAACTAAACATTCACTATCCTAGTCACATGGTGGTCTCCATAGTGGAGAGTTTCATGATTCTAATGTCATGGGCCTGAGAAATCTGGAATGATGGCAGGTAATCTCAAAACAAAACAACAATTCCAATCATAATTTTGATTCTTTATAGCATGCATTATAAATTTGGTTTATTTTTATGCAATTAATCAGAACTTTAGTGGTCCAACCTTGCATACTATGATCACTTTAATAGACTGCAATTCATTCAAACAGAGTTCTAAGAATTGTTCTGGAAACTTTTGCATTATAGTTTGTTTACAGAAGACTAGTGTATATGATTGTTTAAGTATTTTAAGCTTGATGTGATTGATGGTGCTTGTCTTGGTAGTGGTAGTGGCAAGGGAACATAGGCACGAGGCATGCCAGAGGCAAGTTAATATAAAAATCAAATATTAAAATGATCATTTGCCAAAATTAAAATTCAAATACTTGAAACAGATCAAATACAGAAAGTATCAGAATATTAACAATGCAAGGAAATTCCACACACTCAGAATAATCACTGCTTTCTGGCATTTCCTCTTGCCACTGTCTCAGAGGTAGAACAAAAAGTTACAAGAAGAACTGCAGAAACAATTGCAGGAGTGCGAGCTAGCACACACAAAAAAAAAGCGCTTGACTAATGTCACTCCACTGTCCTAATCCTGGAATGCCAATCAACCTGTAGTAACAGGTTTCAAGCTGCAGCTTGCATTCAGCCCCCAAAGTTGTACACATACAAAGTGGCACATCAGAAATATAATCATCACTGTCAGCTCTGACAGCACTGATATTTTCCTTCGGAATGGGGAGGAGCAGGCTTGTACACCTTTTGTGTGCATGAGTCCCACACTTAGGCCATGGATTCTGCCACACACTTACATTACTTTGTCAACACTGATAGTAGGTATCGCCTTTGGGTGGGGAGAAGAATGGTTGAAGTACATTCTTCTCTTTGCCTGCATAACAACTGATCAGTACGGTCAGTTTGGACAGCACAACAGTCTTGGGTGGCACTTAATGAGGGCATCAACTTTTGGGTGGCCTTCCATTGCACTTGTGATCCACTACACTGCAGCCCATATTTACATTTAATGGCATGCTACTAATCTGAACAGGCACATCACATTTTCATTTTCACATATCAGAAGCTGCCACTTACCCACTGAATGCCTTTGGATTCATTAGAATCACACACACACATGCACGCGCACACACACACGCACACACGAGGCCTATGTATAATGGTTACAAATGGGAAGACTATGCAACACTTTGCCTAGATATGGCAGTGAAAAACACACCCCAAGATATGAGTCACGTACTGTATGAGTGAAGACATGTAAATTCCTTTCTGAGTATTGGTGATGAAAGTTGGGTGAAAGCTGTAACTATAACATTGTTTACTCTGTTTGTTTGGTTCTATCCATTTCATCTTTCCTGCCCGTTCAACCCTAAAGAGAGAGAAAAAAAAAAAACGGTGGAGGAGAAGAAAAGTATGAACTGTAAATCTTAAATGAGGGAATAGGGAATAAATTATTCGAACCAAGTTTCAATTCTCCTCTTCATATTTTTTGTCCTTTAACTAGATTCTCTTAAGAAAAAATGAAGCAAAAATAAATGCAGCTTTCTTTCTAGAAAACATGTATTACTTTCTGTAGTCTCATTTTGTTTGATCCTGCATGAGCTTCAGAATTGGGATGCTGCTACCTGAGGTGTTGCCATGGGATTATGTTGCCTCTCACAAGCATTATGCCACCCACTATACCCCTATCACATCCTCATCTTTATCTGGTATTCACTGATCATCACATCCACAGATTATTCCACAACCAGGAATGCCAAGGGCCCTGATAGGAAGATACAGCTTCTTCTATGGAAAAACTGTGATGGTTATGAATTGTAACAAAAGATGGTATGGACAGCAAAACATGAGAAAAGTCCCATCTGGGATTCATGCATCACTTCTTTTGTTAGGGAAGGAAGGAAGGAAGGAAGGAAGGAAGGAAGGAAGGAAGGAAGGAAGGAAGGCAGAAGCCACACACATAGAAGCCAGAGATTTGCCACAGCAATGGTCTAAGTGGGTGTGCATGTTCTGAAAAGGAGATGAGATGCAGAATGTGTTCGGGCAGTTTGATAAGCCAGGATTCTCAGCCATTCTGATTGTGAACAAGCCTGTGTGTGAGTACATGCTGCATGATCACTCATGGGAATTCTGGCTTGTCTCTCTCCAGACAAGACAGAGTTCTAATCCAAGAGCAAAAATATTTATGACTCAGCTTGCCTGGGGAAAGGAAAGCCAGAATCTCCAGTACGAGTGTCTTATAAACAAAGCACAGAGAGAAGACATGTGCTTTATTTAGCTACTCCCAGTTGCAGGAGAAGCCAAGAAGGAGTGATTGAGCAGTACCTATGAGTACGT